TCCTCCTCCTCCTCCTCCTCCTCCCCCCCCCCCCTCTGAAGGGCAGCGACGGGGGGCACCGGCTCGGGAGGGAGCTTCCAGCTGGCCTCGGCGATCCTTCGCCGACCCATAGCGGGCATCGGCACCAGACCCAGACCCCCGACGTCATGATTTTTTCATGACGTCGACCCCCCGAGGTCTCGACCCATTCCCCGGGACCGGTTTTTCGTCCTGAGTCGTTTTTTGACGGTCCCGAGGGCCGGTAGGGGCCCCCAGAGGCCAAAAATAGAGAAAAACCTCCCGTCGTGATTTTTTCATAACTCGAGGGGGTCTGGGTAGCGGGGATCGGCCCCCGACGCCGCACGCGCGCGCTCCCGGACTGCCTGGGGCCACCGGGCCCCTCTCGGCGATCAGAGGGGGCGCCTGGTCTGGTCGACGCGTGGCCCCCCCGGGGCCGGTCCACCCCGCCCCCCCCATTGGCGTTGCCCTCGCCTTCCCTCCTCCTCTGGGCGGCGCGCACAAGGCCCTGGCAAGGGACCTCTGGCCACAAAACCGAGCGCACCATCAATCGAGAGCCGGATGTTCAAAAGGAATTGTTGCCATCCGTCCGTGTGTGTATTTTTTGTGCAAGCTGGTATTTGTGGTAACAAATGTTGACGTGGCCTCTGGCGAGAGCTCCATTTTGAAAGGGAGCCTCCCTCTACCCATGTAACCGATGGATGTGTTCAGACGAATGTTGGCGGCGCGCACAAGGGGGTGGGGGGAGGGGGGAGGGCTTCTTAGAAGGAGGCCGCTTCTTAGAAGGCGCCGGCCTTACCTCTATAGAGAAGGCCCGCGCCTTCTAAGAAGCAGGGGTGCCTCCCAGACCCCCGACGTCATGATTTTTTCATGACGTCGACCCCGCGAAGTCTCGACCCATTCCCCGGGGCCGGTTTTTCGTCCCGCGTCGTTTTTTGCCGGTCCCGAGGGCCCGTGAGGGCCCCCAAAGGCCAAAAACCATGAACAATCTGCCGTCGTGACTTTTTTTCATAACTCGAGGGGGTCTGGGTTCTAAGAAGCCCTCCCCCCTCCCCCCACCCCCCTCTGCGCGTGGCCGATCCTCCCCTCGGCGCCCTCCCCCTGCGCGAGCCGGGCGCCCGATTCCGCGCGCCTCCTTGCCCTCCAGGTCCGGCTCCTCGACGACGAGGAACCTGCCCAGACCCCCGACGTCGTGACTTTTTCACGACGTTAAAGCGACGCGAAGATCGGGACAAAATCGGATCGGGATAACCCGAAATCTCTGAGAATCGGAGGGTTTGGAGGATGTGTTGGGCGCCGCGGCCGCTCCAGAGCGTTCCGGAACGCTCTGAGAGCGCTCCATAACGCTCTGGAGCGATTTATCCCGATCCTAGCCCTGTTTTAGACGTCGAGCCCCAGAGGTCTGGACCCTTTCCCCGGGACCGGCTTCTCATCCCGAGCCGTTTTTGGACGGTCCCGAAGCCCGGCGAGGACCTCCGGAGGGCGAAAATAGTGAAAAACCTCCCGTCGTGATTTTTTCACGACGCGAGGGGGTCTGGGTGGGGCTCCGCTCCGCCCGGGCGGCCCCCGAGGGTTCTCGGGCCGCCGAGAGGGCAGCGCAGCTCCAAACGGGCGGCGCCCCGGGCAGAGTGCGGTCGCCCCGGGGGGGGGAGGGGCGGGGGGGACCGGGGGCTCGCCAGGAGGTGCCAGAGATCGCGGGGTTTGGGAGGTGGGGGGGGGAGGGTGTGCCCCTCCCTCCCCGCCCGCTGCTGCCTTTCGTGCTCGGCTTCGTCGCTGTCGCTAGCCCAGTCCGCTGACAAGAGATCACCGAGCGCAGAGTTCGAAGGTGGCCGACGTCGGAGTGGATCCACAGTTCAGACAGCCAGCCTGGCCATCAATACAGTTGTGATGCTACAAACTACGATGGCAGCGGCAGTGTTTCGCTAACGTGCCATTATTGGAATTTGCCCCGATCAGCGAAATCCGTATGTCTCTAAGATACATTGTTTGGGAGCGGCGTCACATCGTGGTCGAATGACACGTGGCAGCCTTGCCAGTCAGCTATACCGAAACGTCAATGATGTGAGTGTGCAGTGTTAAACATTGCCACAGCAACGTGGGTACCTTACTTGACGCAGATATCCCCATGTGTGCATGTCGCTTCCCGCGGCGATTTGTCTGAGAGCGAGCAAATATTCACCTGAGGGCGACTGATTGAGAACGAATGCGAATGTGAACGGTGTTTTCTACAGCTCTCCGCTGTCGCCTGCTGATATGTTCCGCTCGCTGCTGCGCTTCGCCGCTCAGCGCTGGTTTTCGGATGATGCCCACTAGATGTCTGGCAGGGCATACGCGTAAGTATCTAGACTTAAGTCGGGCCTGTCCCCCTACAGGGGGATTTTCGACGACAAAATCAAAAATATACCCAAACAGTAGCCCAAAAGTATTCCAAAGATAGTCGGGGGACTATTTTTTGAATATGTTTTGGCCTTTTTGGGGTATTTTTGTTTTTTTTATTTCTCGTCGAAAATCCCCTGTAAGGGGGACACGCCCGACATAGATCTAGACGCCCGTCCAGGCGCGCGCGCTCTCAACAGCATGGAAGCACTGGGGAAGCGAATGCGGTGACTGATTACGAGTGGATCCCCGAATGGGAGCGAGCACGTGTGGCCAAGCGTGAGTGACTGTGACAGCGATCGGGCAGCGTCTTTCGCAGGCTCGAACCTGCGCGCCGAGCCCACCGAGGCAGTGCGCAGTGGTTCAAATATCACAGTGCGCCTGCCACGTGCGCCATGCCGTCGGCATTGGGCATCGGATCGGCGCGGACCGCGGGCTGCTGGTGCTGTTCGAGCTCCAACCACAGCTTCCGCACCGGGCAGCGGGGTGGTTGCTCGGAGCCGTCCGCGGCAACAGCGGGCACGGCACTCGAGCAAGATCTCGGGCAGCTCTTTTTTGGGCACGTGGCAAACTTTTTTTTTTTTGTTTTCCCCCTCCTTTCTCTGCAAACAGTGTTTGGTGCACCCTTTTGTAATCGAAGTCTCCGCCACCCCGCAACGCCAGCTGCAATCCTCCTCACTTTGCATCGGGCACTGCAGGCGACCTTCCGCACTTGGCATCGGGTCGGGCTGCGCGCGGGCCCCTGCCCTGCTGGCAGCGCAATCTCAAACCGCCTGGCAAACTCCAGGGCGTCTGCCACGGTCGCCCGCTCGCGGTGTTCGAAGCGGTTGAGGGCCGCGCGCGCCGCTGCAGGCGGGACCCGTTCCAGGAGCTCGCGGGGAGGAAGCCACACCAACAGCATGTCGGCCATCCGGATGGCGCGCGCGTCCTGCTGCTCTCTCCGCTGGTGTCTGCTGGTCGTTGGTGCTCTCTGCTGGTCGCTGCTGCTTTCTGCTAGTGCCTGCAGCCTGCTGCTCTCTGCTGGTCTATGCTGGTGTCTGCTGGTCTCTGCTTCTCTCTGCTGCCCTGTGCTGCTTAGTGCTTGTCAATGCTGGTCTCTGTTGGTCTGTGCTGGTCTCTGTCGCTCTCTTCTGGTGTCAGCAGGTCTCTGCTACCCTCTGATGGTATGTGTTGCTCTGTGCTGCTCTTTGCGGCTCTCTGCTGGTGTCTGCTGGTCTATGCTGGTTCCTGCTGCTCTCTGCTGGTCCGTGTTGCTCCCCTGCTGGTGCCTGCTGATATCTTTGGTACTTCTAGCTGGGCTCTGCTGCTCCCTGCTGGTGTTTGCCGCCCTCTGCTGGTCCCTGCTGCTCTATCTGGTCTCGGATCGTCTCTGCTGCGTTGCGTTGTGCCAGTCTGTGCTGGTGTCTGCTGCTTGCTGCCGGTGTCTGCTGAAACCATGCTGCTCTCCTCTGGTCTATGCTGGGCGCTGCTGGTGTCTGCTTCTCTCTTTATCGCTCTCTGCAGCTCTCTGATACTATCTCTATGTATGCATGTATGTATGTATGTCTGTCTGTCTGTATGCATGCATGCATGCATGCATGCATGTATGTATGTATGTATGTATGTATGTATATATGTATGTATGTATGTATATTTGTATGTATGTATGTATGTATGTATGTATGTATGTATGTATGTATGTATGTATGTATGTATGTATGTATGTATGTGTGTATGTATGTATGTATTTATATGCGTAGTTACGCATGCATATATATACGTTTTAGATATGTAGATGTGTTGCTTTGTGCTGGTATGTGCTAGACTCTGCCAGGTTGGGCTGGTCTCTGCTGGTGTCTGTTTAAGTCGTTGCTAGTTTGGCATGGGACCGTCGCCGCTCTGGCGGCTCCTGGTAGGAACGGTTAGGAACGCCCAAGTGATATGTCTGCTACATCGCGATGCTCATGGAGCTCTGACAGGAGAGGAGTCGGTGAAGCGACCGCGAACAGGCGAATGCAATACTCTCTGGCGGCTCCCTCTTGGGAAGCGGCTCCCTCGTGGGAAGCCCCGGTGTGAGCGACTTCTGGCACGGGTGCTGTGAGTGAGTCTGGCTGAGTGTGGGTCTGGGTGGGTCTGGGTGTGGGCAATCCCACCCTACAACCCCCTTCCTTCCTTTTGGAGGGAGGGCTTCTCCCTTCCCCTTTTCTCTCTCCCTTCCCCTCCCCCTTCTCCCTTCCCTTTGGAGGGAGGGCTTCTCCCTTCCCTTCCCTTCCCTCCCCCTCCCTTTGGAGGGAGGGCTTCTCCCTTCTCTCTTGGAGGGAGGGCTTCTCTCCCTTCCCCTCCCCCCTCTCCCCGGGGCCTGGACGGGTGGGGCTCGCGAGCAATTCAGAGCGTCCAAGCTGGCGCCCACACTGGCTCCAAGATAGCCCACGAAAACCCAGGATGGCCCACGAAAACCCAGGATGGCCCACGAAAACACAGGATGGCCTCCAAGATGGACCACGAAAACCCACGATGGAGCAGTAGAGCTCCAAGATGGCCCACGAAAACCCAGGATGGCCTCCAAGATGGCGCAAGATTGCTCAAGATGGCTTGCAGCAGGCTCCAAGAGGCCCCGGCCCCGCTCCAAGAGATGACCCCAGGAGTCTCCCGAGGATGCCGCCAAGAAGCCAAAGCCCTTCCCAAACCCAAGGGAAATGACCGGCTGTTGCCTTCTCGCCTTCTCGCTCCCGAGGCTCATGGGGGCCGAAAGCTCGCACTAAGATGGCTCGAGAGGGCCCCAATAGAGGCCAAGACCGCCCCGAGAGCGCCCAAGAGCGCCACAAGAGGGCCGCAAGAGATGACTTTTGGGGCTCGGCAGGGGCAACCCTGATTACGGACCTCCCCTTCGCTCGAAGTCAAAACCATCGAAACCAATGGTTTGTTTCAGATCTGTTGGCATCTCGGGGGCGTCCTTGGAAGACGGTTGGGTAAACGTGGCTCCGCCTCAGAGAGCCCAAGCTGGCCTCCAACATTGCTCGAGACATCCCAAGATGGCCACCAATGTGGATCAAAGAGGCCTCCAGCCCGCTCCAAGACGGCTTCAAATGGCCACGGAGCTCTCCAAAGAGGTCCCTAAGAGGCTGAAACCACTTCCAACCCTAGGGAAAACCCATGGTTGTTGCCTTCTCGTCTACCACCTTCGATGGGCATTAAACGCTTCAAGATAGCTCCAAGATGGCCCAAGAGAGCTGAAGAGCGCACTAACAGTGCCCTAAGAGGGCTCCAAAAGACGACTTCTCGAGCTCAAGAAGGGCACCCGTCATTAAGGACCAACCCCTTTCTTCGATCGAGCTTTTCCAATACGGCCCTAAGGAACATGTTGGGGCCCGCAAGAGGGCCCCAGGAGGGCCCCGGAAGTTCCCCAAAAGCAGCAAAAGGGACCCAAGATAGTTCCAAGAGCCTCGAAGAGGCTCCCAGATCAAAGGTACGCAAATGCATCGCTCATCGTCACCGCCGTTCCTCACCAGTGCCTTTTCCTCTTCTTCCTCCTCTTCTTCATCCTCTTCCCCCACTCCCCTCAACCTACTCATCCTCCGCCTCCTCCTCTTCCTCCTCCTGTTCCTTCCTTCCTCCTCATACTCCCCCTCTCCTCCTCACCCTCCTCCAAACCAGGATCAACCAGAAGCTGAGTGAGAACGTGCTCAGTCGAGCTGATCCTCCTCCTACTCGCCTGCCTCCTCGTCCTGCTGCTCCCGCTCCTTCACCATCCTTCTTCTTCTTTCTCTCCCTCCTTCTGCTCCTCGTCGTTCTCCTCCCTCCTCCTCCTCCTCCTCCTCCTCCTCCTCCTCCTCTCCTTCTTCTTTCTCTCCTCCCTCCTCCTCCTCCTCCTCCTCCTCCTCCTCCACCTCCCGCCTCCTCGTCTTTCTTCCTGCGCCCTTCCTCGTTTGCCTGGTCCGCGCCGGCACATCTGCGTCGCTCACGGACCCGCCCAAGCCGATCCCCAACTTCGGTCCGACGGCGCTCCCAGCGCTCTCTGTTCCGGCGTGTGTGCGCGCCCGCGGCCCTCGTCAGGGCCGGTCCGCCCGAGCACCGCTGCCGGATGGGCTTGGCGGGGACGTGCGAGGCGTAAGGGATGCTGAATCTGGGCGAGGCTGAGTGGGGCGATTCTGATATCAAGGGGCCCTGGGACACGCCAAAATAAATGCACACAACGAACAGGATTCCCCAGATGTTCCACATGTTTGTGTTAGTATTTTGTCTTTCCCCCCACTTCCCATAGATTCCAATATTTTCGGGGGAATCGACGATTGATGTTGTTTGTGTGTGTTTTTTTCTCTCCTGATGATAATCAGTACTGGAGCAGGATTTGTGACGCTGGGTGTAGGTGGCGTGTCTGATCACGCGGCTATCTGAACCCGAGCGCGAGTGAGTCTGAGTGCGAGTGAAGCGGGACCTGCCTTGTTCGAGTAGGGGATCGACTGCATATTTGATCATCCCTACATTATTTGTTCGGCCGGGTCCACGACACATGCATATAATGTCCGTAGATCTGGCAAACATTCTACGTAGTGTCCGTAGCTTCGACGAACAAATCAATATGTGGGTACATAATTCCTGTAGTGGATCCACTACTCGACTTGTGAGTGAGTCTGCGGATGGCAAGGAGGCGGGCTAGTGAGGAGGCGGGGGCGTGACACTAATAACAAGAACCCCGTACATGAGACATGTGTGAAACACTCGAACCCCTCCGCTGAAGGCCCAATGCCGCGCAGCCTTCAGCGCCGCGCCTGGTGCGCTCTGCGCGCCAAGGAGGAGGGTCCAACGCAGATCCAAGAGATCCGCACGGACCTTCGACAGTTTATGTTTGCGTAATTTGTCCTTCCTCGATGTGAGCAGGTCGTTGTGGGTAATGCCGCCGTTTGCGAAGTAAACGCCCGCCAATAAAAATGCCGAACGGCCCCCCCCCACCCCGCAAACCGTATCTCAAAAATGGCGGACGAACGCACCGGAGGGGACTGCAAAGTGCTGCAAAATAAACGCCCACTTTTGTGAGGAGCCAACCGCTTGCGCCAGTCTCGGCATGCGGGGGCGAGGGGGGCGCGTTTCGACGTCCTGTCACCTAGATCCGCACGGGCGTTTATTTCGCAAACCGCGGTGCCCCCTCTCCACTCTCTCCGTCCACTCGGGCGGGTGCTCAGGGGGGGTGACCTAAATAGGGGGTGAAGAAGGGGACCCTGAAGGGGCCCTTCAGGGCCCCGTTTGGAGCCAATCGGGGTCCAAAAGAGGGTCCTGAAGGGGCCGACTTCTTCACCCGCCTTGAGGTCCCCCCCTTTCACCCCAGCCCCGACCAACTCACTCCCCCTCGTCCTCTCCATCCCCCTGGCCCTTCCGGCCCCTGCTCCCGCCGCCCCTCCTGCTCCCCCTCCTGCTTTCCTTCCTCTTCCCCCTCGCCTCCTGCTCCGCTGCCCTCCCGACGGTTCCGCTGGTCCTCGTGCCTGGAGGAGCACAGGAGGGGCGAGGGGGGAGACAACGAAGAGGAAGATGGTGAGGAGAGAGAGGGAACACGACCATCGTGCCACCGTGAGGAGCGCTGAATGGGGGACGAACAGGCTTTTCTGGCCACGGCGAGCCTCGGCCGCGGACTGGCCCCCGACCTGAGATAGAGACCAAAGGAACTGCCCAACAACCAAGGCCCCTGCAGAACTCAAAGTGGTTCTTGCAGCTTCTTCGCAGTAGTCCTCGCCCTTGAGGGGGAATCGAAGGATGAGGATGAGGAGGAAGGGAGAACTCCTACTCCGGATTGCTTCATAAGCGTGGGGGGGGTGGATCGCGTGGGGGGGTGGAAGTGGCCTGTCCTGCGAAAAGCGTGGGGGTGTGCCCATTTTGACACCGCTGCGCCGTCCCGCGTGGGGGGGGGTCCGTCCTGTTCCTCCGGCGGGGGGCGTCGGGGGCGAGTCAGTTTTGGTGTCACGTCGTCTTATCGTGTGGGGGGGTAAATAGGGGAACAAAAAGTGACATAAACATAAAAACTCGGAGGTCCGCGCGGATTTCTCGGATCGGGGCGGCGCCGGAGGCGCCGCCGGGGGGCCCCAGCGCCGATCCGAGAAATCTGCGCGGACCTCAGCGTTTTTATGTTTATGCCACTTTTTGCACTTTTTGTTTCCCTTTTGGTGTCACTTTAATTTACGTTTTTTGGTGTCACTTTTTGTTTCCCTTTTGTTTTTCACGTTTTTTTAATGTTTATGTCACTTTTTGTTCCCCTTTTGGTGTCATGTCGTCTTGTCGCGTGGGGGGGCAAAGGCTCGCGCGGGGGCGGGGCGGGCGGCGGCGCCGCTGCTTCTCCCCCCTCGCCCCCCCCGCGCATCATCCCCTCTGGGAGGCCCTGGGCGCGCCTGCCGGTGACGCAGCCGAGCCGCGTCTTGAGCTGGACGCCGCTGCCAAACCTGTGGGGGGGGGGGGATCGCGCCCAGAATCCGGGAGGGAGCGGGGGGCCACGGCAGCGGCAGCAGGAGGAGGAGGAGGAGGAGGAGGAGGAGGGAGGAGGAGGAGGAGGGGGAGGAGGAGGAGGAGGGAGGAGAGGAGGAGGAGGAGGAGGGAGGAGGAGGGAGGAGGAGGAGGAGGAGGAGGAGGAGGAGGAGGTGAGGAGGAGGAGGAGGAGGAGGAGGAGGAGGAGGAGGAGGAGGAGGAGGAGGAGGAGGAGGAGGAGGAGGAGGAGGAGGAGGAGGAGGAGGAGGAGGAGGAGGAGGAGGAGGATGGACGAGTTCCCGCCGGCGCGGCTCCCCGCGGACCAGAGGGGGCCACGCCTGGCCACCCCGCGGAACCGCGCACCTCGAGCGTGCCGAGCCCTGGCTGTTCTGAGGCGCCTCCCCCCCCCGCTCCAGGACGCGGGTCGCCACGAGCCCCTGCGCCATTGTTGCTGGAGGCCTGGAGATTGGCACCAGCACCAGCACAGGCGGCTTGCCTCCGGGGAAGCTGGTCCTAGACTTCGGTGTCGGTGGCAGTGCTTCGGTCACCTTGAACATCACCACCAGCACCGAGGTCGGGATCGTCCTCCCTCGGTGGAGGCACACCGCCGATCTTGGTGTGGGTGTCAACCTCTGCGGCCCGGAGGTTGACACCAACACCCTGGGCCTTCGACATGGATCGAAGGCAGCAGAGCAGTCCCCACACTGCCAGGAACTTTTGCCTGCGAGCGGGTCGCGCGACGCTCCCCGCTCCGCGGGGCGGGAGGCTGAGCAAGGCTCGGGGCGTTGACGCCCGAGGCCCGGGGACTGGGACGCGGTTCGCGCGTCGCGCCGGAACGCGATGGGCCAGAGCCGGAGGCGTGACGAGCGAGGCCAAGGTGCCCGACCGTAGTAGGCACCCCATGCAAGCGAAGCCCCTGAAGTTAGCCGCACCCAAGGAGGGGATTTAATATCAGGGCAAGGCTGTTCAGAAACACGCCCGGGACTGCTCAGTAAGCGCAAGTCGCGGGGGTCAGGGTGTCTTGCTTCCCCCCATTCAGTTGCAGCGCTTCTTGAGGCGGAGTCACCCCCGGACAGGCCCTGGCGAGCGGGTGTTTCGCGTCTTCGCCTCGCTGCCCCATGAGCGAACGCACCGCCCGCGAAGTGCGAATGCCGCGGGCGCAGCACGGACAGCGTCACTGGCGACCCGTCAAGGTGCCCAGGGCCCACCACTGAGCCGCATGCTGGCGGGCGCGGTGCGGCGCCCCAGGCTCCTCCCACCGACCTGCCGCTGTTCCAGCAGGCCGCAGTACTCGCTCCCGCGCGCTGCGGCGACGAGCCTGCGCTAGACCAGGGGGATCGTTTTGGGCCTTCCTGGGGCACAGGAAGGGCACCCTTCTTCACCCCCCCCTCATTTATATCCCGGCCCCCACCGACGCAACACCCGAGGAGGAGGAGGAGGAGGAGGAGGAGGAGGAGGAGGAGGTCCAGGGCTTCCCCCTCGGAGGCTCATGCGCGCGGCCCTCAGAGACGCGCCGATTGCGCCGGGCTCGCCACCGCACGGAGCCTCCGAAGGTGCTGTCGCCCTCCACTGCGCAGCAACGCCGTTGCGGCGCGCAGAGTCTCAGCATCTGGTGCTCTGGCAACCTGTGCAACGCGTCTTCGGCCGCGCCGTGGGGGCCTGCTGGTGTCGTCAGCAACGTCGAGCAGGCGGGAACGCCTCCGTGTCGCCTCCGCCTTCGGCTGGACGTCCGTGGCCCAGGCGGTCCACCAGCGCCACCTCCTCATCGCAAATGGCAGTGCAAAATTGACCGTGGATGGGGGAAATTAATGCGAAACCAATTCAGAGCGCTGGAATTTTGCCGACCAGAAGATTGAGCGCGGTCCAGGCCACCACGGCTTCAGGCTGAAAAGCTGGACTTGTGGTTCGCGCTTGATGTCTACATCTTCAGCGACAGCCGCCGATCGTGCCCAGCTTGGAACTCTCGGCAGTTGAGTGGCACAAATTGAACGTTTTGACTTTGGTTAATTGTCGCGTTCGTTGTTTCCATCCACGGCCTCCCGGCAACATTGGATCTGCCCTGAGCTGGGCTGAACTGGTCTGCGCCGGACTATAATGGGCCGCAGCGGATAGAGCGGACGGGACTGGACGACGCAACGCTGGACTCATCTTGGGACAACTGACGGTTCAGGAGTGCAAGCCACGAAATGCGGCAAGGTTGCAACATTCCAACGCCACGAATGACATGTGCTCAGGACATCCTGACAAGCACCACGCTTGCATTATCGGTGGCACTTCTTCAATCAGAACAATCGAAATCGTCTTGTTTCAGAATGCACAACGTTATGATCGGCGCCGTTTTGGTGAGGAAGTCCTGAGCGAGAGCTCCAACATGTTTTTCGGGCCGTTGGAAAGTTGCAACCCAATCGCACTTCGTTGCTACCAACATAGTTTCGTCTCAGCCAGGCTAGGACCCACAACATCGTAACGCCACGAAGTGTGCAGTTATAGTCCAAATGTATGATGCATACTCCCCAAAGGCCATTCCTGGCGATCTCATTGTCGCTTCGTCCTAGCCAGACTGGGATGGACAAATATTAACGGTTGGGTGGGTGTACTGGTTGATCCAACGTATGATGAATCACCCGAGAATGCCATGTCTGGTGATCAGGTGAACCTCCCGAGTAGTTCAAGGGCCATCATCGCCCCAAATCGTGATTCCTGGAGATTATACGAAGTGCGCAGGCACATGATGCGGGTCCGACAACGTCTGGGGGGTCCTTGCAGAATCGCAGCGGTGGGCGGAAGAAGGTATCGCGAAACCAAATCAGTACGATGGACTTCCGCCGTTCGAAGAGATTGAGCGGGGTCTAGGCCACGGCGACCTCAGGCTGAAAAACTGCACTGGCGGTTCGCGTTTGTTGTTTGCATGTTCAGCGGCAGCCGCCCGTCGCGCCCAGCTTGGAGCTCGCGGCCTTGGAGTGGCACCCGTTCGACGAACTGTCGCGTCAACTGTTTCCATCCACGGCCTCCTGGCAACATTGGGGGCTTCCAATTTGTCGGGCGACGTTGAACTCATCAGCTCGGTTGCCCCAGGCGCGCCGGAGCAGCACTGAACCTGAACTGCCCTGAGCTGGGCTGAGCCGGACTGCGCTGGATGGGCCACAGCGGCTGAAGCCGGAATGAATTCGACGACGCGACGCTGGACTCATCTTAGGACACCTGGCGACTCAGGAGTGCAACGTTCCTTATTGGAGGGTTTACTTGACCGCCACATATACCATGCTGGTGCGATGTGTTAAGTTTGGTCAATCACTATACCCTTCGTAGCGTTACAACTATCTGTGTAAGCTTGGCGAGGACGAAGCGACAGTGAGATTGCTAGCACTGGCGTTCTAGGAAGACGCCTCGTACATATGTCAACAATAACACACTTCGCGAAGATGCGATATGTTTCGTGCTTGTCTGAAGCGACATGGCGTTGAAACCCATGAACTGCGATTGGGTTGCAACTTTCCAACGTTACGAATGACATGTTGCAACTCTCGCTCAGAATTTCGGGACAAAAACGACGCCGATCATATCGGTGGAATTTATCAATGTATCAATACTCAGGATTATGATTGGCGACGCCTTTGTGAGGAAGTCCTGAGCGAGAGCTCCAACATGGCATTCTTAACGTTGGAAGTACAGTCGGACTCGATTGGACAGGACACGCGGGAGGACACACGACCATTCCGAGGGCCACATTGCCACAGGAATGTAGGAAGCATGGGTCGCGAGACACAGGACACAAGGGTACCCTTGATTTGGCAGGGTCGACCTACTAATCTGGGCCGGCTGTATTCGATACTATCGGAAGTCGTTGCTATCAATATCGCTTCGCTTCAGCCATGGGGGGGCTTTGTGTGACGCTTCTGGAAGCTTCCTGGGCGCCCCCCGGGGGCCTCTGGGGGCTTCCTCGGACCACCTTGCTGCGGTCCACGGTCTCCATCAACGACGTGATCCCGATTTAGAATGCTTTGGGAGGCGTCTTGGGACCATCTTGGGCCATCATGGGACTCTCTTCGGGCCATCTTGAGGCCCTGTCGGGCCATCTGGGGGCTCTCTTGGACTCCTGTCGGATTGTTTCGGGACGGTCTTCGCGGCATCTGGGGCGTCCTCGGACGCCCGGAACACCGAAGAACCGAAGATCTAGAAATCAAACAAACACCACACAAGAAATCATGCTCTTGCTTGGAAAAAAAGGGTCTCTTTGGGCCATCTTCGGGCGTCTGGTGGGTGCCTGGGGCCGCTTGGGGCCGTCGCGGGGCCGTTTGGCCACGCTCCTGACCGCCTGGGGCCTGTTGGCTAGGCCCGGCAGGAACATCCTGGAGGAGGAGGAGGCGTCCTCCTCCTCCTCCTCCTCCTCCTCCTCCTCCTCCTCCTCCTCCTCCTCCCTCCTCGTCCTCCTCCTTCCTCCTCCTCCTCCTCGTCCTCCTCCTCCCCCTCCTCGTCCTCCTCCTCGTCCTCCTCCTCGTCGTCCTCCTCCTCCTCCTCCTCCCTCCTCCTCCTCCTCCTCATCCAGGAGGTCCAGAGATCCTGGGGGCTTCCCCGCCTCCGGGTCGTAACAATACTTCGCCGCTGCGAAGGGTCGGTCAAAATTCAGCTCCTCCTCCTCCTCCTCCTCCTCCTCCTTCCCCATCCCCCATCCCTCTCCTCCTTCTCCTCCTCCTCCTACTCCTCCTCCTCCTCCTCCTCCCCGTTCGGCAGCGGGGCCCCAGTGCAGTGTTGTCGACGGAGGACATCTCGAAAGGGGCCCCTGAGGCGACGGGGCCCCAGTACAATGCTGCCAGGGTGCGTCTCGTTGCTTCGCGCAGCGAAACCATGTTCACGCGGTTTGGAGTTCGGACAAGGGAACTTCGACTTCGGTCGAGCGCTTTCTTCGAAGAAATAATAGTGGGCGGAATCCCTGTTACCACTTCGGGACGACGGGTTTCGACAACATGTCGGAATCGTTTCATGAGCACGTCCAACGAGAGAACCACACTTCCGATTCTTCTGGTTACCAAATAAAGAAATTGAAATGCCAAGCGGGTTGCCCGAATCGAAACAGCGATTCCGGTGAGACGTCCTCAGATAAAGCCACTTCAACCGAGGTCGAAGATTTCTGGTTCGGAGTCGGAATGGACATTCCGCCCAATGCTTCCTTCAGAACATAAGTCGGAATCCATTCGGCTTTAAAGCGTAATGACGATTCCGCCCAGGACTTCCTCCAAATCTCAATCCGTACCTTTTCGGGTTCGAAATCGACATGGGAACTCCTTGCTGCTCGCAGGCTCTGGCCCTCCATGGCGTGATGGTCCCTGCCGACCACTGGGGCCTTCGTTCGTGATGTCTTGGTGGAGCCACGAAGAGGGTCAAAACCTTCGTAGCGGCGATGTATGGAACAAGAAGGGCGAGAGAGTGTGTGTGTGAGAGATAGCGAGAGAGAGAGAGAGAGAGAGAAACCAAAAGGCAAATATAGGAATAGAGAGAGAACAACACGAATAAGGAAAGACAAACCAACAAAACACGTAATAATGACCATCCTGCGGGAGCTGGGCACAGAATCCTTGCCTCCTCTGGAGCTGGAGGTCTCGAGAGCACATTCTGAGCCAGTAGTGCGACCCGCACTGACGAGAGCCCCGCTCCGATCATAAGAAGGGAAAGCCTGAGCAGCAGCACGCGAAGCGGCAGCATGATGAGGGAGTGGAGGAGGAGGAGGAGCATGAGGAGGATGAAGAGAAGGAGGAAGATCAGGTGAATGAGGATGATGAGGAGGAGGAGAAAGAGGATAAGGAGGAAAGGATGATAACAATGAAGGGGCGGAGGCAGAGGTGGATCAGGAGGAAAACGAGGAGGAGGAGGAGGAGGAGCAAGACGAGCCGGTGTTTACGAGCAGTGTCGCAGCTCTCGGAGAGGGGGAGGATAAGTTGCAGTACCGTCGGCGCCCAAGACCACTCCGAGGGCTGTGCGCGCATCGCAAAAATCAGGTGCAAGGACGAGGCACCCTTCCCCTCCCTCATCCTTCTCCTCCTCTCCTCCCTCTACCCCCCTCTCCTCCGCCTGCCGCTGCTTCTCCTGCTTCTGTCTCTCCCTCCCTCCTGTCCCTTCCTACCTGCCCCCAAAGGGCGCACTCGAACGACGCCCCGGGCTCCAGGAGCGGCGTGAAGCCCACCACCCCGGCGGCCTGCGCGAGCTCTGGCCGCGGGGGAGGGGGGTCGGGGGGCGGGGCTGGTGGAGGGGGCCGGCCGAGGATGGGAGGCTGCCGACCAGGGGGCCACGTCAGCAGGCCTCGCGCATGGCGCCCCGCGCTGTGTGCGACGCGCGGTTCTCTTCGCGCCCCTGCGCTGCTGCCCTGGAGAGGGGCGCCGAGGAGGAGGAGGAGGCGGAGGAGGAGGAGGAGGAGGAGGAGGGGGAGGAGGGGGAAGAGGAGGGGGAGGAGGGGGACCAATGTAGACCCAAGACCCATCAACGATTTACAATAGACCCTCCCTCCAAATTACCTCCTCATAGGTCCCTGCACAGATGTTTCTTCACTGAATGGTATGCCCCGGTGGAAGACAGCCGTCTGAAAGTCCAGAACCGTGCCAAAACACTACCCCTGGGACTTCAAGGCCGAGAATCAAAGTTACTGTTGTGTCCTGACGATCCTGAATCGTGTCAGAACACTATTCCTCGGACTTCAACACCGAGAATAAATCAACGTGACTCTTGCGCCCTGACAATCTTGCATCGTGCCAAAACGCCGTTGTCTGGGACGTGAGCCAAAATGATCATTGAAACTGTTGCTGAATCTTAATACGAATGACTCTTGCAAACGTTTGAAACGAATGCGCGCGGCGCTGAGGCGAGAACAACATTTTGAAAACGGGTCGCCCTCCATCCGTTAAGCTCTTGCAGACTTTTTCAAAGAAAGAACCAATGTGGGAATCGCTGATGCGAGAACCACATTTTGAACACGACCCGCCCTCCATCCGTGAACTTGCTGCACATTTCAAGCTTCAACATCGTAAAATGATCAGGACATGTCAGGCGAAACGTCACGTGTCGGTATGTGACAGGGGCGACTTATGTATAAGGATAGGCACTGATGAACGGATGGTGCGCCCTTGGGGAGGCAGGTGACAGAACGGCAACAACTTGCAAAGCAACAGAGGGTTCAGGTGTTCTGAGATGGAGGGAGGAGGAAGCGGAGGAGGAAAAGGAGGAGGAGGAGGAGGAGGAGGAGGAGGAGGAGGAGGAGGAGGAGGGGGAAAGGGAGGAAAAGGCGGAGAATGAGGGGAGGAGGAGCCAAGGGCCTCGCGCGCCGAGCAGGTGACGGATGCCGGCCGAGGAGGTGAGCCTGCGAGAGTGGGCCACCAGCTCCCCCAGCATTGGCCACCCGGTGTCGACCCAAGACCCAGACCCCCGACGTCATGATTTTTTCATGACGTCGACCCCCCGAGGTCTCGACCCATTCCCCGGGACCGGTTTTTCGTCCTGAGTCGTTTTTTGACGGTCCCGAGGGCCGGGAAGGGGCCCCCAAAGGCCCAAAATTGTGAAAAACCTCCCGTCGTGATTTTTTCATAACTCGAGGGGGTCTGGGGATGACGCCCCCAAAGGTGGCACCACGGCGGCCCCAGGGCGCCCCGAGAGGTTCCCGCGACGGCGCCGGCACGGCCTCAGTCAGGGAATGGCCCCGACGTCTCTCCGGACGTTTTTTCCCCGAGGGAGGGCCGACGCACTCCGCGGGCGTTCCCAGGCCCGACGGCTCCCTGGGCCACGGATCCGTCGTCGCCTACAGTCGGGGCGTTGACCCAAGGAACGATAAATAAGGAACGGGGCCCCTATGTCCCATAAGTTAAACTTCGATTTCGTATCGAAAACCATAAGGAAAACCTGAGGCAAGCTGCAGGCCCCTTTTCTCCATAAGTTCAACTTCGATTTCGTATCGAAAACCATGAGGACAACCTGAGGCAAGCTGCGAAACACTCAAGGAACGCGGAGCCCCTCCCCAACGAAAAGGGTTCCTTCTGCAGCGCCCCGACTGTATGCGCAAGAGTGACTCCGGGCACGAATCTTTGGTGCGCGACCTTCGGGGGCCGCGGGGGGGGGGGTCAGATCCAAGCGCGCAGGCCAAGTGCTGCGGGGACCCCTCGTGGGCGAAGAGGCGCTCTCACGCGCAGCCGACGTCGGCGGAGGGCAGAAGCCTTTTGGGTGGACCTGTTACAGTGAGGCGTTGACCTCAGGAACGATAAATTAAGGAACGAGGCGCCTTTTTTCCCATACATTAAACTCAGATTTTCCATGGAAAACCTCAGGCAAACCCAAGGAGCACTTTAAAGCAACTAAGGAACACGGAGCCCCTCCCCAACAAAAAGGGTTCCCTTCTTCAGGGCCCCGACTGTACTTCTTCGTGCCCGGGATGTGACCACGCTCCGCGACAGCTCGCGGTCTCGCCGCGGACCGGTGAAGCAGCAGGAGCATGTAGCGCGGGCGGCAGTCCGAAGAGTGCAAGACAGGGGTTCTTGAGTTGAGCGGAGATCCTAGGTGGGGACGTGGAAGGCACAAGAAAGAAACAACAAATCCTCGGGCGTCTCCATCTTGATCTGCGTGGTCAGGTCGCCAGAGTCTTCCCGGAAGTCATACTCGCCGCAGCATGGGGCGGAGGGGAGGAGAAGAGGAGATGAGCAGGAGGAGGAAAGGGAGGGGAAACATCTTTAGGACGACGATGAACAAATGGCGAGGAACAGGAAGAGTGTTGATGGTAATGTAGACGAAGAGCCGCTACTGGAGGTTTTCTCTGGCATGTGCTTAGCGTATCTACCTCCGCGCAACTCTTTTCTTCTCATTCTCCTCTCCTCTCTCCTCTTTCTACTGTCCTCCTCCTCCTCCACCAACATTTCCTGTTCCTCCTCTTCCTCCTTTTCCCCCCTCCCCCTCTGTCCCCTGCCCCATTTGCTCCTCCTGCTCCCTTCTGCTTCTTTTCCTCCTGCAGCTCTTCCTTCTCCTCCTTCTCCTCCTCCTCCGTCCTTTATCCATATGAATTACTCACCCCTGATGCACTCCGAGACGTGTCAGTGGGGCGGGCTGGGCGTTTCGCCTGAGACTTCCTCACCACTTATGATCCTGAAGCTTGAAATTCGCGGTGATTTTGCGGATGGGGGGTGGGTCGTTTGAAAATGCGGCTTTCGCCTTAGCGCCGCACACATTCGTGAAGTCTGCAAGAGTTTCAGAGATGGCGGTCGGGTTGCTGTCAAAACGTGGCCCTTGTCTTAGCGACGCACGCACTCATCGCAAACACTTGCAACGGTTTCACGGATGGAGGGGGGGGCGGCTTTCAAAATGTGGCTCTCGCCTCAGCGACGCGCGCATTCGTTTTAAAAGTTGGCAGCGGTTTCGCTGATGGAGGGCGGTTCCCTTTAAAAATGTGGTTCTCGCCTTATCACCGCGCACATTCCCTTTGAACGCATGCTACCCTTTCAAAGCCTCGCATGGTCGCAATTCCAAGAACGGTGTGCCGGCAACATGTTTCTCCGCCAGAGATCGCTATATATACACATACATACATACATATACATATACATACATACATGCATGCATACATACATACATACGTACATACGTACGTACATACATACATACATGCATACATACACACAAACATACAAACATACATACATACATACATACATACATACATACACACATACAGACAGACAGACAGACAGACAGACAGACAGACAGACAGACAGACAGACATACACACATACACACATACATACATACATACATACAGACAGACAGACAGACAGACAGACAGACAGACAGACATATATATATATATATATATTCTCCGGTGTCCAGAGATCGCCATACAACTTTGCCCGCGTCCCGAGATGGCAGCGGACCCCACCGCCGCCACAATGCCACCAGTGGTGAACAGCGGCGCGGGAGCCCCTCGGAACAACAGGGCAAGGCGCTGCGTGCGCGGAGGCGGGCGGCCCGTTCCGTGTGGCGTGCTGGCGCTGCCCCCGAAGATCACGACAAACTTTATAGCGAAGGTAGGGAGCCCACAAAGGACGTACGCGCCCAGCTATGTACATGAACACGGCCCCTCGATTCGCGAGACCAGCCGCGTTATACGAACATTTGTGCAATGCGTGCTCTCGAAACCAGCGTGGATTCATGTACATGCACGTCCTTGTTTCGCTCCTGAGAAGGGCCTGCGCACGCAGGCGAGCTTCAAAAGTCTGCTTCGGGGTCCCGGGCGAGTGACAGCGAAAGGCGGAGTGCAGACTGAGAAGCGCACCTCGCAACACGGCAGAAAAGGGGCTAGCCTCAGAGCCCATCCGGCGACACAGGAGAACGGAGGAGAGCCAGGGCGAACAGGTTCGGGGCGGGAGAGAGGAACACGACGCACGGCCCATGAGGCAACCACGAGGAGCACGGTGAAAGCGAGCGCTGGTGCAAACACATGGAGAAAACATCTGAGGAACAACCAAGGGTATATGCATGCTAGTACCGGTAGCCACAGGTTCAAGACAATGGATGAATTTGGCAATATCCAAAAACGAGACATCAGGGAACCCGTTGGTCAACAGGGCCAGGACAGGGGGCTCGGCCAGAATGTAATACAGCTTCAGTTTGCTGGAATCTTGTTTCTGAGCGTCCTTGCGCTCATATCGAATATCAAAGAGCTCTAGGCAGACGCCCAATTTAGACAATTATATGCTCGCAGGACAAAAGAGGCAGGCACGCAACCAGCAATCCGACGGGCGATGCACCAACCATCGTCTTCAAATATGCGCGCGAAGGCACCGCGAAGGCGAGGGAGCTCGTCAAATCTTGCAATGCACGTGGCACGCGTAGCGGCGTTTATCTGGCAGACGTGCGGGAACTCTAACGTCAGCCCGTAATTGGCGATACTGATACACATATCGTACGAGATACCATTGTTCGGGCCCGCGGTGAGTAAGCGAACACGTACTTTTTGTCCTCCGCAGCTTTGGACGGCGCATATAGCTGCAGCACAAAGTAGAAGGGGCGAGACACATAACGCTTGGAAGATAACAACAGACTGAGCAAGCCCAAGGCCAAGATCACGAATCTCACGAGTGCGCTTCCGAAGCTGAGTGACGTTCTCATCCCAGACCACCTCATCAGCACCTTCCCCACTCCGCATCCCCAAATATTTCAGCCGGCGAGCGATCTCAAGAAGAGGGAAGGGATGAGCAGGATCAGCGAGCGGGTCAGAGGTTCGGCAAGTTTGGAGTGGGCCGCGAGAAGCTACCACCCGGGCGACTCCAGCACAGGACCCGTGGGGAGCCCTATCCCGGGGGAAAAAGCATTCCCGGGGCGCGCCGCCCAGGGAGTGAAGGCCGCGTGGCTATTCCAGGGCCGTCTTGGTGTGGAACGTGTACCAATTTCCATGTCTGGCCGTGCTCATTTGTATGCCCCACGCATCATATGTTGTTGGTTGCCCCCCCTCCAAGATGATCTCTCTCTCTCCCTCTCTGCTTCTCCGTTCCTTCTCTTCCTCCTTCTCCGGTCCTTCCCTTTCTCCTTTCCCTTTCCTTCTTCTCCGAACACAATTCCTCCTCCTCCTCCTGGCCCATCATCCTTCTCCTCCTTCTCCTTTTCGCTTCCTTCTCTCTGTAGCAACGCAAAACCAAGAATACACAGTGTTTGGCGCCCTTGGTGCAAGGAAACGCTGTTTATGTTTGTTTATGCCTGGGTTCTTCGGTCTAGGATACTTGGAAGCACTGTTTTTTTGTTCGTTTATTTGTTTTGTTTTGGAAGCTCAATTGCTCCCCGCGGCCTCCCCCCCAGCACCACCTCCCTCCTTTTCCCCCTTTCTTTTTCCCCCTCCTTCTCCTCCTTTCCTTTCCTCCTCCTTGCTGCAAAGCAAGAACACCAAGAATACACAGTGTTTGGCGCGCTTGGTGCAAGGAAGCGCTGTGCATTTTTGGATTTTCTGTTGTTTTTCTGTCTAGGATGCAAGGAAACACTGTGTATGTTTGATTATGTTGTTTTCTTTGGTTTTGGAGCTCCGGAAGAAAAGGAGAAGAAGGAGGTGCTGGGGAGAGGCAGCGGGGAGCACTTGAGATTCCCAAGCCAAAAGATCAATCTAACCAAACATACACCGTGTTTCCTTGCATCCTAAACCAAAAACAGAAAACAAACACACACACAAACACATACACAGCGTTTCCTTGCATCAAGGGCGCCAAACACTGTGTATTCTTGGTTTTCTTGCTTTGCAACAGAGAGGAGGAGAAGGAACGGAGGAGAAGGAGGGGGAAAGAGGATGGGGGAGAAGGAGGAGGTGCTGGGGGGGAGGCCGCGGGGAGCACTTGAACGTCCAAAACAAAAACAAAACAACGAACAACAAATACACAGTGTTTCCAAGCATCCTAAACCCAAACACCAGAAGAAAAACAACAACAATAATGCACAGCGCTTCCTTGCACCAAGGGCGCCAAACACTGTGTATTCTTGGTTTTGCGTTGCTACAGAGAGGAGGAAGCGAAAAGGAGAAGGAGGAGAAGGATGATGGGCCAGGAGGAGGAGGAGGAGGAAGTGTGTTCGGAGAAGGAGGAAAGGGAAAGGAGAAAGAGAAGGAACGGAGAAGGAGGAAGTGAGGGAACGGTGAAGCAGAGAGAGGTATGATCTTGGAGGGGGGGCGACCATGTTGTTCAATGCTCGGTGTGCTTATGATAGAGACGTTGTGCAATTTGTACGTTTTAGACACATGTGGACGCCTAGCCACGAACAGCCACGACATAGACGCGGCTAGGATTTTCGTCGCGTTTAGCGACGCGTCTTGCCATGTTTAGCCATGGGCCCCAACGCGAGTTTTGTATGACACGATTTTAGCCACGTTTAAACATTGCATAAAAACGCACATGATTCATAATCAGAACAAGCGCGAATGACTAAGTCAAAGCTTGAGGCGATGACAAGGGTCACCATCTGCAACTTTCCACAAGAAACATTGTATCTCGCGCCCACAATGCATCTTGCCCCCGTCCGGAAATTCTTGCTTCGCGTATCTCCACCAGCCCGTCCAGAGACGATGCGCACGGGAGTTGACTTGATCGTGGAAGTGTCGCTGCGTGCAATATAAAAAAGAGCGGGGCAACCGTCGTCGTCGTCGTCGTCGTGTTCGTCCCATTCATATTATTACCATGTTTCTCATTCTTCTTCCGATTATTATTATGACTACTACTACTACTACTACTACCATTACTACAACGAATACTACCACTACTACCACTACTACTACTACTGCTACTACTACAACAACTACTACTACTACTACTACTACTACTACTACTACTGCTACTACTACTACGACTACGACTACGACTACTACTACTACTACTACTACTACTACTACTACTACTACTACTACTACTACTACTACTACTACTACTACTACTACTACTACTACTACTACTACTACTACTACTACTACTACTACTACTACTACTACTACTACTACTACTACTACCACTACCACTACCACTACCACTACCACTACCACTACCACTACCACTACCACTACCACTACCACTACCACTACCACTACCACTACCACTACAACTACCACTACCACTACTACTACTACTACTACTACTACTACTACTACTACTACTACGACAGTTAGTAGTATTATGCGTTGGGGAGGAGCGGAGTGTACTAGTTGTGCGTACT